GAATCCCTTGGACTGTTTTCATATTTATATTGTCTTGTCAAATCTTCCTGTGTTGTGTTTGATTTCCGCAAGATCTGCTCGGCTAGTTTGCTACCTACTACACCTACAAAAAAGTTGTTAATGTGAGTCAAGGAATCTTCAGGAGTATCCTTCATTTTAAGCAGATTTGATGTATCAATTTTATTGCTGGATCTATTCAAGGAACAAACTCGTTATATTGTTGCCCAAGTATTTTAACATCTTTTTGATTTTTTTCTAATTCCGAAATATCATGCGCTTTCTTAAGATTATGCAATATGTTGGTGCAGTAATTTCTGTAGCGTTTATATGTTATATGTAGGTAGATTTACGTCATTGGGATATTTTTTATGTCTCTGGTGCAGGGCATCTCTGAATTTCACACACCGCAAGAGACCCGGCGTCATCCAGGGTTTAACAATATTTTTTCTACATATTTGGCTGTCTAATACTAAAAGAAGATTCCTTTATAATCCCAGTCATCTGAGCAATGAAGGTTTCACTGGCAATGTTTACGTCAGTGATCTCACAAAAACTATTCCAATCAACCTGTTCTAACAAATGTGAAGCCTTAAGATCGTCAATCTTAGACACTAAACTTGCCTTCCTGAGAGTATTATTGAAAGTAGATGATATTTCAACAAACACCGTATTATGATCTGTGATCGAGGAGGAACAAACCAAGGTTAGAATTTTGTCATTAGATTTAACAAAGGAGTGATCAAGACATCTGTCTTCACGAGTTGGCAAGATGTGGCTAGGCATCAGCCCATGCATCGCAAGGAGATCAAGTATTCGTCTGATCTATGATCATTATTAGATTTACTAATGTCGATATTGATATCTCCAATCATAAAGATGTTTGTAACGTGTTTTATGTTGTGTAGCAATAAATCAATGGAATTTTGTAAATTAATTGTAGAAGTAAATGACGACGATCTATACACGCAAACAAAAGAGTAGTTATTACCAAGTTGTACCACAAAACAATCAGCCTCATCTATCATTGGTTCATACACAGATACGTCCTGCAGATTTTGCCGAATATATACTACGACACCACTATTTTGATTTACCTATATGCCTAGTAGTAGAGTAGCAGTTATAACTTTTCATAATATCCGGGATAAGATCAGAGTTTTGAAGCCAACATTCCGTCAAAACAATAACATCACATTCAATTTCGCTCCTAGCCAGAAAGACCTCGAAGTCACAAAAATTTTTATTTATACTCCTGATATGTTCTGTGTAATTATTTTAAGTGAGGTATTTGATTCAGTCATATGCAATTGAAAAGCACTCGGATCACCAACTAAAGCTGATTTACCAACATTGATTTTGTCAATGTCAGTAGCAAATTTATTAATGTGACTATCCATATTTTAAACAGAGATATTCTTGTATTGGATTTAATTGGTGATCAGTAGTTGTTAGCAAAGAATTGGACCGCGAAATGACTGTTTATATTTTTGTATGAGTTTTTAATATTATGTGTGCAAAAGTTAGTTATAAAATACATAATAAATATCCTGCTACTAGCCTTAATTTGACTCAATTTATTTATTTATTTATATAATTCACTGTGGACTTACAGTTTTACCCAAGACGTCCATCAGCGGCAGAAGTACAGATTACACGATTTACATAAATAGGTGCTTAAATACTATGCGACAGAAAATTGTATACCTCCAAAATATACTGAACCATACTATCAACAAACACGTCAATATGGGGTTTTTTCGCGAGAAGCGCATTTAATGACGTCAGTGCTCTAATTGTAGGGCAGTTTTGTGCAGCAGGCAGTTTTATAAGGATAACTAAGGTTACATATAATACTATTATTACATAAAGAAATGATTTCCCAGGTAACAAACAAAACAATAAAAATAATGAAAACTAAGAAGTACTGTATGAGATAGGGACGGCTTTTCTGGCTTACTAGTCATGTAGAACGTAGGGCTTCTACTTCGGATAAGGACATTTCCACGAGAGGTCCAGCAATACTTGTAGTTTCCATCCTTTACAAGAACACGAGCAGCTGCTAGAATTTTTTTGTTGAGTGGGGTCAGCGCTTCAGATAAATGGTTTGAAAAATGAATTTCGACACCGACTTCTTTATTTCTTTAATAAAAAGTAAAGTCAGCATGTTATGGAATTATAAAACTCAGGAATTAGTAACAAAATAAAGCGCAATAATGATTGGGCTTAATGCGTACCTATGCGAATCAATGATACCAAATTTTGCAGAAAAGAATAATAAGGAAAGTAATGCAATTGGTAAGTTTACAACTAAAAATTGTATAAAAACTTTTAATTTTTACTTATACATGGTGCAAAAACAACTATGAGCAATATTTTGCAGGGCTTAAGAGCTTCAAATTGTGATAGTAAACAACTTGTTTAAAAAACGTGGGGCGAAATATGAAAAATATTTGGACCTCCCATACAAAGTTCATGATAGTTTTTATATTTTGAACCTTGTCTCTTTGACAAAGTCAGCAGACAACTGCATGAAGTTGAATATAAGTAGCGACTGCGTGCGGTTGTTGTGGTGCAGTCCGTGAGTTGCATCCAAACTTATTTGAGAATGATAATTAACTAGAAAAAATCGAACTGCCTAAGGCGGGAATTGAACCCACGACCTTTCGCTTGCCGTTCGACTGCTCTGCCAACTGAGCTACTTAGACACTGAATTCAATTCATCGTGGGTTCATTTTCCGCCTTAGGCAGTTTGATTTTTCCAAGTTATTTATATTTAAAACTAGCTGACCCGGCGAACTCTGTTCCGCCTTAAAGGCAATAAATTAGCAAATCTTTCCTTATTTGCTCACTGTTTAGACCTACCCTGGACTACGACAAACATTTTAACACCAAAATCAGCTCAATCGGCCCAGCCGTTCTCGAGTTTTAATCAGACTAACGAACATCAATTCATTTTTATATACAGTGTGAGTCACGTTAAAGTGTACATATGAAAATAGATGAAACTAGACCTATTTTTATCGACAAAAAAGAGGTCAAAAATTTTTTGAGATTTTTTTTTAATTTTTTATAGAATTTTTTTTCTTCCAATTACGTATTGTAAAGAAAACGTAATAACTTTTAAACTAAGCGGTATATCCTGATAAAATAAAAACAGTGATAATGCTAAATAACAGGCGATACTAAAAAAGTACATAAAATACACAAAAAATGCCAACAAATAATAAAAAATGATACTTTTTGAAAAAAATCTGCTTAAAAATTCGTGTTTTTTTGGTTATTTGATAAATTTCTCCAAAAAATGCCCCTATAACAGGTGGTTTTTATTGTTTTGTATTATTCTCTATCGTATTACCTTTGTAAAACCAAAAATTGCATGTCTCTATCCCTATCACAACATTTGCTATGATAGTTTGAACAAAGGCCTACCACAACATTATTCTCCTCTACAGGTAGGGACAATTTTAATTTTAACTAAAATGCTTATTTTACTTCGAAATCTTTTGTTTTTACTTGAAATCTAACTTGTCTTTATCAAAATTACAAATCTAGAGCCATTTTCAGTTTCGTTGTTAGCGAAGCGTTGAATGGCGCGCCCGGAGAGGCTTAGTTCAAACGATCATAGCAAATGTTGTGATAGGGATAGAGACATGGGATTTTTGGTTTTACAAAGGTAATACGATAGAAAATAATTCAAAGTAATAAAAACCACCTTTTATAGGGGCATTTTTTGGAGAAATTTATCAAATAACCAAAAACACACGAATTTTTGAGCAGATTTTTTTCATAAAGTATCGTTTTTTATTATTTGTTGGCGTTTTCTGAGTATTTTATGTATTTTTTTTAGTATCGTCTGTTATTTAGCATTATTACTGTTTTTTTTTCATCAGGATATACCTCTTAGTTTAAAAGTTATTACGATTTCTTTACAATAAGTACATGAAAGGAAAAAAAATCTATAAAAAATTTAAAAAAAATCTCAAAAAATTTTTGACCACTTTTTTGTCGATAAAAATAGGTCTAGTTTCATCTATTTTCATATGTACACTTTAACGTGACTCACACTGTATATGTTACGGTTAATGTGATAAATTGAAAATTATGAATAATCGCCGGTTATTATGAATAATTACCGACAGTTGAGGTAAGAGTAATAAATAAATTACATTTATCAGATATTATTTAATAATGTAACCTTAGTACTATGAAATATCATAAAAGAACAATAGCTCATGTATAGTGCTTGTGGACAGCCACACATTTTGAATGTTTTGATATCATATTATTAATATAATTTGGCATAATGAGTTTCGACTGTTTTTTGCGTAACATTACTTTGCCATAAAGGCCATAACATATTGTTTTGATTTAAAGTGAAAAATAGGTTAAGGTGCGGCGGGGGTGGCCCTTGGGCCACCCCTAAGCCGCCTATTTAGTTTTATACACACATAAATGATCTCATATTAATCACATTTACCAAATCATGCGGTAATTATTCATAATAACCGGCGATTATTCATAACTAGCTATCCGCCCGCGGCTTCGCCCGCGCGGAATTTTGTCTTTCATACGCGTTCCTGTTTCAGAAATCGGGATAAAAACTATCCTATGTCCTTTCCCGGAACTCAAACTATCTCTATGCCAAATTTCATCAAAATCGGTTCAGTGGTTTTGGCGTGAAAGAGAGACAGACAGACAGACAGACAGAGTTACTTTCGCATTTATAATATTAGTAGGTATAGATAGATTTTCACATTTATCACTTTGACCGTAACATATACAGGGTGTCCCGTAATGTAACGTCAAGCCGGAACTGGGTGTTGAGGCAAGTTGTGCTGGTTATCAGAAAAATATAAAAAAAAATCTATGTGGCATATTTTAAAAATAATAGGCATTTAAAAAAAATCAAAAAATTCTACTCCAGGTGACGGTCTTTTTGCTCGTGTTGCCACAAATCTTCACTTATTCCAAATTTTTTTTTGTTATGTAACCCTGANTAGCTTTATTTAGTCTGTAAGTAATTAATTTTGATTTGTTTATAGGCAGCACAATATTCAGTTTAAAGAAAACCTGGTAACATTACGTTATTCCGTACCAATCTTCTCGAATCTTTTAGTTCTGTCTTCGATCAAGGACAAAGTGTCAGTCCAGACCTGTTCAGCCAGTTCATCAGTGACTGTATGGTGCGGAGTGGTAACTTCGCAATCATCGAAGTACAGGCCCGACACGCTCGCCAGAGAGGGCGCGCAGGCCAGGTGCACCGACGTCTGCGCGCATTCCACCACCGTCTTACATATGCGGTCCATGATGAAATACAGTATCTTCTTAGGACAATCCGGGATTTTCGCAAATATGTCTGACTTTCCCATTCCTGGATGCAGAGAATTTACTGTGACGCCTTCCGGAAGGCGCTTCGCCATAGCCTTAGCGGATAACAAATTGCACAGTTTGCTATTGGCATATCTTGTCCAGAAGTTAAGACGTCGTTTTCCAAGCAGTAAGTCGTCACGTTGGAACTTATGGGTTGCATGGGCCATCGAAGTTACAATTATGATGCGGCTAGGTTTGGAAGCAACTATCTTGGGCATCAGCAGGTTAGTGAGATAAATGTGAGCGACGTGGTTGACCTGCATCACGTTTTCGATTCCGTCTTCGCTGTGGCGTTGCTCGGCCTCGGTGAAGCCGGCGTTGTTGATCAGAACGTCTAAGCGGTCGAATGATTTGTCAAAATCTTCGGCAAATTTCTTCACGCTGGCTAGCCTTCCAAGATCTAAATGTTTGTAGAAGATGTTGGGGTTTCCCGTGACTTCGGTGATCTTTTCCGCGGCAGCCTTTGACTTGGCGTCGTTGCGGCTGGCGATCACGACGGTGGCTCCACGCTTGGCCAGTATTTTCGCAGTTTCGAACCCTATGCCCGTGTTACCACCAGTAATTACAACGATTTTACCTTCTAGATTCACTTTGCACGAACACATTTTTTTTGTTACTTCTATCCATATTTTAATTCCAACTAGCCCTAATAAAATAAGACCGGTTAACATTAACAATATAAATCCCACGTACACGATCATTGTGTGAGTCTGGTTAGATTACAATGGCACGGTTTTGCAATGGTTCAATAGGTTAAATCACATTACAAGTTGGTACCTAATATACTTTACGTTTTTATGACGTGATATCTAAGAAGGTACCTGTTGAAAATGTAACAAGAATATAAATATTTTTCAGGAATATTAAACATTACCTACTCTTTTTTTTTCAAAAATTTTAATAAATTTTTATTTTTATTTTTTTTGTCCACAACGAGGAAGCTCAAGCTCTTGGCCTGTATCTATCTCACTGAAGGTGGAAGCGAGCTTCACTCGGAATCCTCAACCACCGAGAAACTGGCTATCTTACTTACCTCTAACTGCCGAAACACAACAATGCTGTTAACATTGTTGTTATGACGACAGACTTAGGTAAGATGGTGGTAGCTGGCCAGGCGATCTTAGAACAAGTAATGTATGTATGTACCTAATCTAATACCACAGCTAATTTAATACCTATAGTAAGGTATTGTTGAAAAACTGAAAGATCTTTTTCAGGAAAAAGAGTAGGTAAGTAATATAAGTATGTATTAAAATAAATAACGGCATAGCTACCACTTTATTATTATTAAATAAAATCAAAATAATACAATTAAATTCAGCGAAGAACAAACTTTTAACACGATAACTACTTAATATCGAAGCGCTTTAAAAAAGTTAAATACGGATCCTCAATAATAATTTCTTTTATATTTTATTTTTTATGGGATTTATAATGGACGATGATGAACAAGATATTTTTAAACAAGATAAAAAGATAAGGATGATGACTGGGTAATGAAATCGAAATTCTATTTAGTCCGTCAGACAGATAATTAGAAAATATTAGACTTATATTTTTTATTTTTTTCAGTAATCGAATAATTACAGTATTATATTGAGTTGAAATGTCGAATGACGTCACTTTTGAGTAAAAAATCTACTCAAGCGTGACGTAACGCGCCATTTCAATTCGATGTAGCACTGTTATTAATTAATTATGAAAGAAAACAAAAAATATGAGTCTAATATTTTCTAATTATCTGTCTGACGGACAAATAAATGAAATTTTGTCATCTAGCCTATTTATAAATCAAAAGCAAGGGCGACAGCGAAAGACCAGCTTCTTGATATGCCCTTACTACAAGCATATGTCAAGATAAATGCTGAGCGGGCTATTGGCATGCAGTGGCTTAGTACCTAATTGTTTTTGTTCTTGTTGTATTGTTGTTTAAATGTACTGTGTCGCTACTAGGTGGACCGACGATCTGGTAAAGGCTACGGGAGGAACCTGGATGCGGGCGGCGCAGGACCGTTAATTATGGAAAGCCTTGGGGGGCATTTGTCCAGCAGTGGACGTCATTTGACTGAAACGAACGAACGAATTTACTGTGTCAACAAAGTTTTTATGTCTATTTTCTATAATGCTGGATTTTTATGCAAGGATGGCTTATCTGTTTAAGAAGGAAATCGGACAACTCGGATTAATACATCGAATTAGGTTGAGTATTTTTTTAATTAATCTGCCGATAACAAAGATTATGACTGACGTGGTGATAATGATAATAATATAATTACTTATGTTATAAGTTAATTAGTGAGTTTCAGTTATTAGTGTGTCGTTGACTGTTAAACATGAAGGGCTTTGCTTTGGTCTTGTTGTGCGCGGTGGCTGCGTCCCAGGTAAGGGTCTTCCCATTGGTAATATGCAAATTCATAAAACGGAAATAATTTTAACGTCATTACTGATTTGTTTTTATCGTCACAGTGATTAGGAAAATCATCTAACAAAAAGACATACTGCGTCTTTACTTTAAAAAATTGCTTCAGGAAGTACCTACTCGTACTTGACCTGTACTACCTCATTTTTCAAGAGATATCTTTACATGATGTTTAGCTCTATAAACTAGCACTATAGGAATTTATTTTAATGATAACGAGCTTGAATTTGACTTATAAAAATATGCTCGTAAAAAGTTATGTTATATGGACATAGGTATTTGGTATTTCTTTAATCATATTTTAGATTTTAGTAGGTTAACTTAATCAACCCAATGACTAGGTAAGTATATTACTATTACCCACAGCTATTACTTCCAAAGCACTGGTTCATAATTATTTTTAGATAATGTGGATGTTTGTGGTTTCTTTTTAGACGATACACATTTCAAACCATTTTTTTCTTATTCAGGAGTATCGCAATGATTTTCCCGCTTTTTGTTTCCTACGGGATGGTAATATTACGTGAGAATCGAACGCAGGACCATAGGAGCATCTCAAGTCTATTGTCCACTTCATGGGTTGCTAATTGCTATTAGTATCGCATTTCCTTAATTTTTAAGGTATTAATAGTGAACTTTCTGAATCCTGGTAAATTAAGAATTCGATTATTAAACTAGCCTAACAAATATGGTAAATACGGTAATCCATATTATCCATAAAATATTGTGCTTAATCCTTGCCCATTGCATTCAATTCGTGTAGAACTGTAGAACCTTAGGTTGCTAAAGCCTGGTTTCCACCAAGACGACAACCAATCAGATGTCATTCAGATTGAATGAAATTGATAGAATGAAATCTGATTGGTTATTCAAAACGTTTCTCCGCTCCTATCCGCTCCTCTCCGCCTTTGTGGAAAACGGGTCTAAGATTTTGTAATTTTAAACTGTTAATTGAAGTCTAAGTAAGTAATGCCACAGAATAAGTAATAGTACAGGTACAGAAGGATTACTCCGCACGACGATTTAAATAAATGCGAGTCTTGCTGCGACGCGATACAGTGGAATTCAGCTCGCACAGCACTACGTACCTACAATTTTATTCACCTACAAGTTTTGTCTCTTTCTATCGCGTGCCTCTGAACTCTTCTTACGCTGTTAGGGTTGCTGTCTAGTGAAAAAATAATTAATCTACTTATTTGTAATGAGGTACGTATGTAGGTAAGTAAAAATAACATTTCAAATATACCTAATTAGGATTAAAAAAACTTGTTCTATTACAATGTCTTCATTCAAAACATACTATTACAGAAAAAAAAAGAATCCTATACTATCCTAAGAATTTTATTATTGATTACCTACATGGCCAACATACCTTTCAGCATCTTTGGGAAGCGAAAAAAAAAGATAAATCCGGTAATTTCTTTTCGAATTTAAACACCCGAACGCCGCACAATATTTCTTTCTCTTTATGTCCATTTTTAAATAATACTTCGATCATAGAATTATAATCATACTAAAACGCACGCCAGCGTCCTGACGGGTGAGCGCGTGACACTCGACTGATATAATACCCGCCGGCGGGGCGCTTCGCTGTAGGTAATTATCGGATGTACCGCGCGGAGTGAGCCAGGCCTGGTAATGCTAAGTAGGTACATAAGTAATTAAACTTATAAAAATATGTAAATACTTTATATCTATAGGCAAAGATTTAGCTTAGTCGATTAATTTGGGTTTTCCAAACACACTATCTTTACTTGATGTCCCTTTCTTATCATAATTATAATGAGCCGTTAAACTGAAAATATTCCTAATTTATGTTATCTAATCTTAAAGCTGCCATGCATCATGTTAATCCTGCTTAATTCCAAGATAATAAAGTACATCATGACTATGAGTTTAGTTCGTAAGTATGTAGTTAACTTACTACTTTACCTAAACATTTTAGTTTTAATACCTGAACGTAGGGTACGGTTTCCAGCAAAGGTGAGAATCCAGATCGAATAACCAATCAGTGTTTCTTTAAAATATCAAATCAGAAATGAGGAGATCCGTAAATGAACTACAGTCACTGACATAGCCCGACGGATTAGCAAGCTGAAGTGGCAATGGGCAGGGCATATAGTACGCAGAACTGACGGCCGATAGGGCAGCAAGGTTTTGGAGTGGAGGCCACATACCGGAAAACATAGCATGGGACAAAGACCTGATAAAGGTAGCAGGAAGGCGCTGGATGCAGGCCGCTACCAACCGTGCGATGTGGAAGTCATTGGGGAAGGCCTATGTTCAGCAGTGGACGTCCTGTCGCTGAAATGATGATGATGAACCGATCAGATTTAGTTATTTCCACATCACCACTCCGCTCAGCTTTGGTTCGTAGATCCGAGTGGTCATTGAAACATCTCTCCACTTCTCCGCTTTAGTGGAAACCGGGGCCTTACCCAACTGTAGGTGCTAAAGTGCAAATCTTACACGCGTCTCGTAAAGTTATGTATTATTATAATAAATTATGTCAAGAGATTTTAAAAAATATTATCGAATATTGTTAAAAAAATGTTAATTCTGATAGGCGGAACTAAGAGTAATAACATAATGTTACATGTCAAGATGATTTTACGCAAATTTTAACATATTTTTCTTATTTGCAGGCTCGCAGCACTGGCGTTGAAAGTAAGTATTAGGTATATGGCTAAGCAAATACTTAGGTACCTGCTTTTTTAATTATTTAAAGAAAACCTTCATCCGAGATGTAGATATTGGGCCCGTGTAAAAGTAAATAAATACTCTATCTTGTTTTTGTTGTTTTTTGTTTTACCTAAATAAAAAATATATTTAAGCTAAGTACCTAACTTGTGTTCTTCACCACAATAGTCGAGCGGCGGGGATCGAACCCGCGTTCCTCGGATCACGAGTCGGCCAGTTCTTTACTCCCTCACCGTTCGGCTCTCAGATCATAGAAGGGAATAGATGTGAAACGGGGGCGTGGCGCGTGTCTCCGCGATATGCCCAGAAACGAACATCGGCCGCGACGCCAGGTTAGTCGCGATTCAGTCGTACTGAGGAAATGTTCTCCGATATTGTTGGATAATGCGTCGTAACGTGCAATAACATAAGTGAAACGAAGAACTACAGGAACAATGAAGTCATTTACCACATGTAAGTATTGCAAATCCATTGGTATTTTGCTTATAAATAAAAAAAACTAAACATTTTTACGAACGAATTCAGTGCCGTGACATTTACTGCGATATCGAAATTAGTGGTGATAAAAATTCAAACACGTTGTACATTGACGATTTAGTTAGCAACCACTTTA